GGGCTCTCTTGAACCTGAGGCTCGTCAATCAGTTCGACCTCTTTCTCTACTACAACTGTCTCCAGCTCCTTAACTTTGGTACCCATCGTTTCCGTCTCAATCACACCCTCATGGAATGGAAGCCTCTCGTTTTCAGATACTATTTTCTTGTAAATGTCGACAGAGAACAAAGGCATGAACCCAATGAAAATGCCAACCATGAAAAAGAACAACAGATGGACTGCAACTCGCCTGCAGCTCAACCCCTTTGATTTTGATCTCTCCTGTGATCTACTATGCCTCTGGGAAGTCATAGCCATGTACGCTGACTTTAGCTTGCTCCACAGCAGGAAAAAGTCCAAGGAGATCACCGAGGCCAGCAACCCCCTCATTGCGACATAGGACTGCGAATACAGCAGTTTTGGAGATGGCAAGGGATCGTTGAACTCGGACCAGTCCCTAACCGACCCTTCCCGTAGGATAACCCCGCTGTTCCTTCGACTGGACGCCATTCCAGAATCAAGGCTTCGTGATGCATGTACTCCTCCTGAATTACTCAAAAGCACGAGTCCATTAGTCCACGGTTGCTGCACTTTCTATCCCTTTCACTCATGTGAAGCCGTGGATGCAGTATTTTTTTTTCCCTGATGAAGTAATCAATTGAATTGTACCTGCAAAACAACGTGTTGCGAGAAGTGCGTCAGCTGGGCTCAGCTCAAGATCAATCAATACATGCTCAAGCTAATCCATAAAGCAGGCTAAATTGAAACATTTCCTGGAGCACCGATCCAAATTGCAGGAGAGCAAGATCCAAAGGTAAAGGCGCATATGGCTCTAAGAACTTGAGAAGATCATCACCAAGGAAAAACCAAACATTTCTCCCTAACAAGCAGAGGCGGACCTAACTAACGGGCATGGGGGATCAGCTGAAACCGCAAACTTCGGAAAATTAACTGCTACCATCACTCCACCGCGCAGGCGCGCAGCACTATCAGCATCGCAACTATAGCTGGGCGGATCGGATTCTTCTTGTGCAGGACAAAGCAAGCAAGCCAGCAACCCGTCCAAGCAAGCAAAAGGCTTCCTTACCAAGGAGGGAAGACTAGCAACCAGGCCCGGGCGGGATCTCCAATCCACGTCGGTGAGAGCAGGAAGCGGCGGGCCGGCGGCGGCGCGAGGACGCCTGATCCAGATGCAAGGGGGGGCTGCTTGCTTCGCGCACGGCTCTGCCGCCTGCTGCGGTGGAGTGGAGGTGGCTGGTTCGGCCCCCTCCCCCTCCCACCACGCCTCTCCTTTTCGGAAACCGCGGCCCGTGCTGTTGAGCTGTTCCCGGCTCCGGCTTGACTTCTCCTACCCTTCCTCGCTTTCTCTCTCCACGCAAACCGAGACAGGGGGAGTTGGTGAGGGGATGGGTGGATAGAGAAAAAGGAGCTCCGCGGGCGCGGAGGCGGACGGGGAGGGAGACGAGTAAACAAATGGCGCGCCGGTCGCCGTCGGTCGGTCTCGTGAAGTGGACAGCGGAGGTTAGTTGCGTCGCCGGTTGCAATCCAGCCCCTGGATTGTTGCGGTTTTACGGACGGTGACCGCTGTTAGCGACTCCCGCGTGCTGCTAGGCCGGCGCACGGTGTTCTTTTGTACCGCAGGTTATGACTTGGTTAAATGGGCACATTGAAATCTTGGAGCTTGGTACGATAGTCGAGAGTACATCTAAATAGATTTGGATCAAATTAAATGTTCAAATTTGACTAAATTTATAGAAAATAATTTTAATACTTGTGTCTCTAGATAGGTTTGTTATATAAAAATATATTTTATGGTCAATCTAATGATATTAATTTAGTAGCATAAATCTGTTATTTTTATATAAACCTGGTTAAATTAATTAGTTAAACTCTTAAAAGTAAGAATTGAGAGACTGTATAGCAATAGAAGAAGGTGTAGTATGTGAAATTTGGATATGCAAGTTCCAAAGTAGATTCTACGGTGTCACGCGCATGGATTTTGACTTCCTTCGTCCTAGCGAGGGAGACGGCCTAGATGCGATTATGAAGCAATAGAAAATTAGAGATTATTTCAATGTATCTTTCATGCCCATCAAACTCGATGTGTGGTACGTTGTGTGTTTGATTTGATAGCGTGGAAAGTTATTACCTCATCAGCTCTGCCATAATATTTACACTTTTTTTGTAAACCGCTAAATTGTCTTCTAGACATGGCCACGCATGCTAACGATATATGGAACTACTCATTTTGACCTTAAATGTAGGTTGGACTTATGGACAAGGATTAATAAAGAAGATCAAATGATCTTAATACCCATCGTTTATACTGCTTTGGTATGTTTGAGGAATTACATAGTACAGTCTCTTTCAAATTATAAGATGTCGTGACTTTTTCTAGATACCTCGTTTTTACTATTTATTTAGATATAGTGTATATCTAATCAGATATAAAAAAAAACTACGTATCTAAAAAAAGTTATAATATCTTATAATTTAAAATAAATGCGATAATAAAATAGATCAAAAGACTTTACTGCACTTCATTTGGTTGTCTCGAAGTTTGTGGGCCCAATGTCAAATT